AAGCCACTACCTTCTCATTGACACCCAGGGTGTCCCCTACACTGTGCTGGTGGACGAGGAGTCACAGAGGGAGCCCGGGGCCGATGGGGCTTCAGGCCAGAAAAAGTGCTACAGCTGCCCGGTGTGCTCGAGGGTGTTTGAGTACATGTCCTACCTTCAGCGACACAGCATCACCCACTCGGAGGTGAAGCCCTTCGAGTGTGACACATGCGGGAAGGCGTTCAAGCGGGCCAGTCACCTGGCGCGGCACCACTCTATCCACAGGGCAGGGGGCGGGCGGCCCCACGGATGCCCGCTGTGCCCGCGCCGCTTCAGGGATGCGAGCGAGTTGGCCCAGCACAGCCGCGTGCACTCTGGGGAGCGCCCGTTCCAGTGCCCACACTGCCCGCGCCGCTTTATGGAGCAGAACACGCTGCAGAAGCACACGCGGTGGAAGCATCCCTGAGCCAGTTGGGGCCAGGGTCCCCCAAAGCTGGCCCTAGAGGCGCGCGCGCGAACACACACTGGCCTGCTCTTGCTGTGAGCTCTGCCAGAGAGAAGAGCCTTAGGCTTCGGCTGAGTTAACAGAACGGAGTTCTCTGGCCTCAGAGACTTGGGACATTCACGGTGGAGCCCTGGTCGTGGAGCAGACCTGTGTGTGGAAGCCTCTGCCTCAGCCAAGTGGCTGGGGCCCTCAGGAGCCCTTTTCATGCACACAGGCCTGAATAGGCGCGGAGCACTTTGGTTTTGGTGACAGTGTCGCTGACGTCTGTGTTCAGCGCTTAGTAGGAAGAGCTCAGCTGGCCTGCGGGGTGTGGGAAGGTGGCTGGCCCCACCTGTCACCCCGGAAGTGTCTTAAAACTTAAAAAAAAACAATCCACTGTAACATACATATTTTCTATGACAACCGGTATATAGATACATAAAATGTATGCCAAATTTAACAGTAGTTTCAAGGCACCCCGATTTTTTGACCATAATTTTTAAACAGAGTCCATCCTGCTACATTAAATTCTCTGTCTATGAACCTGTAGTTTGAAGAACACTGATCTAGGGCACGTGGCCCTTGGACTTTCTGATTCAGGCTGTAATTTACCTGAAGAGCCAACTCGGGGGGGGGCGCACACTCAGACTGTGCTCCCCAGGACCGTTGCGGCAGATGGACGGAGAGACCGGTGGCGCTGAGCCTCAAGCTTAATAAACATTGGCTTTCTGGATGCCTTTTCGTTGCTGCTTTTATGCTAGGCCTTCTTTCCCCTCTGACCTGTCGGCGGAGGGACGAATCTGCTCGCACTTAGCAGAGCAGAGAGAAAGTGCGAGCCGGGCCAGGAGCAGCTGGACCCTCGCTGGCGATGCCCTCCCCCCCACACGCCCCTCCGCAGATCGCCTGGACTCTAGCACTGTTCCATAGCCAACTCTAATCACTAGAAGAGGGTGGTGGTGATCGAGACTCGCAGAGCCCAGACGTAGGTGGCAGGGCTGGAGAGCAGCTGGAGTGAGGCTGTGCCAAGGACCGGGCAGAGCGCCGAGACGCGCGGACCGTGCCTCCCTCCCCTCCAGAGCAACCCCTGCTCCTCTCTCTGTCCCCAGGCCCCAGTCACCCTCCGGATGCCGGTGCTGCCGCCCCCTTGTCCCCAGCCCCTGGCGCTTCCCTCAGTAGAGGCCATGGAGGCCCCGTTCCCTCGTCCAGGCAGGTGCCCGGAACCTGGACCTTCCTCCTCCACTGCACCTCCCCAGACTTCGACCTCTCCGAGGCCAAGCCACTACCTTCTCATTGACACCCAGGGTGTCCCCTACACTGTGCTGGTGGACGAGGAGTCACAGAGGGAGCCCGGGGCCGATGGGGCTTCAGGCCAGAAAAAGTGCTACAGCTGCCCGGTGTGCTCGAGGGTGTTTGAGTACATGTCCTACCTTCAGCGACACAGCATCACCCACTCGGAGGTGAAGCCCTTCGAGTGTGACACATGCGGGAAGGCGTTCAAGCGGGCCAGTCACCTGGCGCTTGGGGGGGGTCACTAAAAAGAGACTCTTCTTTGGCTTCAACTTCCTCAACAGCCTGGCCACCATTCACGGCGCCTCCGCCCCCGCTGCAAGATGGGAATTTCGCGACGCTCCCAACCTGCTCTCCGGGGAGGGCGGGGGAGTGCTGCAAGGGGCCATCGCGCAAGTTCGGCCCCAGCCCGGGTGTCCAAGGCAAGCCTGACCTGGGCG